TGTGTGTGTGTGTGTGTGTGTGTGTGTGTGTGTGTGTGTGTGTGTGTGTGTGTGTGTGTGTGTGTGTGTTTATACACACTGTACAGCACACCATGTGACATATGGATATGTGAGGCACTATATGGGGAATTGAGCACAGCCGCAGTATTTATAGTTTATAGTGTACTGACAGGGATGTGCTCTGATTTATTGGTGCAACTTAAATACAGTTGGATAATTTTAAGTTAATAACCAGGGTTTGGGGATCTTAAAAGGTGTTTAATTCTTAAGAAAGGCCTGCATCAATCTTTCAAAAGTCCTAAAACTGCTAAGACATTATGTTAAAGTAAACAGAACCACGAGTAACGATGAGTCATTTGAATTTTTCTTTGTAAAATTGGTGACACAAAGAAACATCTTAACTAAAAGAAAATATATTCTTTTTAATTTTGATAGAATACATAAATAGACATGCAAAGATGTTAATATAACCTGTCGTATAATTCATTTTGTGTATAGGCGATTTTAAATTAGGCTATGTCCAGAAAATACCAAATCCTTTTTTTCTCCAAAAATGTTAAAAGTTTTTTTACATCCATTGCTCCATTGAGCTCACATAGCGTGTGCTTCCCCCCACAGGACGATATCACCCATCATACCATCCAGAAGTGGTCGGAGCTGAGCTGGATGAGCCACTGGGCCACATTCGGATCCTGGATATTATACCGACTGATCCTCTGATGAAGGCACACGGAGCGAGTGAAGCAATAAGGAGAGACGAAAGGCTCCACGTCTGCACTGTGACTTTGTTCTGCAGCAGACAGAAGAGAACAGAGAACCAGCATGCAGTGTTCAGGTTGCATGCTGGGTAGTCTGTTGTTCTAACCTGCTGGGGACTGGATCTATATTAGTGTTATTTTGACTCCCTGCGCTCCACGTTATACCCTGAAATCCTCAACCTGACCATTAGAAGCTGTCCCTAAAGAGAAGGCCCTGAAGGCAGCATCTCCCTGTTTCCCTCCACAAAAAGCAATGGGGTTTTTCCATTGGATTATTGTAGAAAATAATCTCTGTGGAAAACACAAGTTTATGATACTTACATGTTTTGTTCAGCAGGATAATCTTCACATATTAACACCAGTTAATGATTTCTGGAGTTAAAATCTAACGTTGGGCTATAAAGGAACTACAGCACGGTCACATGACTTCAAATCACCACCGCTAAGCTAAAGGCGGCTAATGTTGGGCTATAAAGGAACTACAGCACGGTCACATGACTTCAAATCACCACCGCTAAGCTAAAGGCGGCTAATGTTGGGCTATATAGCAACTACAGCACGGTCACATGACTTCATGTCACCACCGCTAAGCTAAAGGAGGCTAATGTTGGGCTATAGAGGAACTACAGCATGGTCACATGACTTCACGTCACCACCGCTAAGCTAAAGGTGGCTAATGTTGGGCTATAAAGGAACTACAGCACGGTCACATGACTTCACGTCACCACCGCTAAGCTAAAGGTTGCTAATGTTGGTCTATAGAGGAACTGCAGCACGGTCACATGACTTCACGTCTCCACCGCTAAGCTAAAGGTTGCTAATGTTGGGCTATAGAGGAACTACAGCACGGTCACATGACTTCACGTCTCCACCGCTAAGCTAAAGGTGGCTAATGTTGGTCTATAAAGGAACTACAGCACGGTCACATGACTTCACGTCACCACCGCTAAGCTAAAGGTGGCTAATGTTGGGCTATAAGGAACTACAGCACGGTCACATGACTTCACGTCACCACTGTTTTTTTTTTCTCCAGGTTTCAGGACTCATTCCTGCACCTCTCTCTCTCCAGTTACTGACCTTGTCTATGCAGGGTTTGACTCCCACCATGATGGCGTCTCCGAACACTTTCCCGTCTTTGGACAGAGCTTTCCTGGCCTGCAGGCTGGACTGATACTGAAGGTGCATCCAGTTACCAGGAGACGCCATCTGTAATCAGGACATCATCAAAACATTTATCATATTATATTTCTTGAAGACATCTGTGTTCACCTCAAACATCTTCAGACTACCTGCTGTTGTTCCTAACTCCATTTGAAGCTTTATGATGGTCATTGCTTGCCTTGTCTCTCATGTCTTTGTTAATGTGTTGATGCATATTCATGTTTATACTGTATATACGACTCGAATAGAGAGGATTTCGTGTCTCACCGTGTGTTTCAGGATGTTTCCGTATTGAGCGAACTGCAGCAGGATGTAGGAGGCTGAGGCTGGAGGAAAACTAACACACACACACATTTAATCTACATGTATTTACCGTATATATTATGCAATGACAGCAGTATATATTGAGCTGTTTAAATACCCGAACACAGTGATCCAGGTCTGGTCCAGCTGGTCGTCAGACGACAGAGACTCTCCCTGACTGTAGAACGGATCCACCTGAGCTGGAGAGAGACACAACTGCACACCTGAAG